GTGACTCAGGAGGCTGAGACAGAAGGATGAAAAGAGCTAAGAAACTCAGTGAGATCCTGTCTATAAATAAAATACAAAATAGGGATTGGGATGTGGTTCAGTTGTCAAATTCCCGAGTTCAGTCACCAGTACCCAAAGGGGGGGGGGAGAGACAGACAGAGAGAGAGAGAGAGAGAGAGAGAGAGAGAGAGAGAGAGGAAGGAAAAAAATGGGCTGGAAGTGTGGTCAGTGGTCGAGAGCCTCTCGATTCAATCCCCAGTATGGGGACACACATACACAGCCATATGTAGCTCAACAAAGGCCCACATTCTAAAGAATGTCATTGATTTTGTCATTGTGCAAACATCATAGAGTGTGCTTACAGACAGCTATAATGTCACCAGGCTTTATCATAGGGGACCACCATTATATATATATAGTCTGTTGATGTTGGCAAAGTTTTTATGAGGCAAATGATCATTTTTGGTCTTGATCTCCAGTTCCTGACACAAGGTTCTAGAATCATTTTGTATATTGAGATAACTGGCAATTAGGAGTTTGGGAATAGCTTCAGGATGGGAGCTGACCATCAGAAAACCAAGGCATGATTAGAAGGTTTCAGCTCTACCTTGAGACAGAGAGGGGCAGAAGATGGCCAGTAATTTAACATGGCTACTAATGGGACCTACTCTCTCTCTCTCTCACACACACACACATACACACACACACACACACACACACACACACACACACACAAAAGTCCTCTAAGCAATATGTTTCAGAAAGGTTCTGGGTTGGTGAATGCACCTACATGCCCAAATAGTGGTGCATTCTACTCCCTGGGATATAATCTCCCCTTTAGACCTCCCCCAATGTACCTCCTTCATGAGGCTGTTGATCTGTAGCCTTAGTTGGTAATACTAAGCAAGCTGTTTTTTGGAGTTCTTTGAGCCATTCTAGCAAACTATTAAAGCTGAGGGGCTTACAGTCAGTCAGAAGTATGGGAGATCTAGACTTAAGGATGGGCATCTAAAATATGTGCAGTCTGGTGGGACTAAATCCCTAACCTGTGGGGTCTGATGCTAACTTCAGATAGTGTTAGAACTGAATTGAATTACTAGAAACCAGTTGGTGTCCAGACTGGTTGGTAGTGTGGAAAGCACTCACACATTTGGCATTAGAACTGTTGAAAATAGTTTGGCTATTGTAAATTGTGCTGCTTTAAAAATGGTTATGCATATATCACTGTTGTATGACTTTAATTCTTCAGAGTAAATACCAAGTGGTATAGGTGGGTCATATGGTGGTTCCATACCTAGTCTTTTGAGGAGACTCCATATTGATTTCCATAGTAGTTGTACTAATTTAGTCCAACCAACAGTGTAAACGTGTTCTTTTCTCCACATCCACTCTAGCATTTATTTCTATTCTTGATGATTGCCATTCTGACTGGTATAAGATGAAATCTCAAGTGTAGATTTGCATTTCCCTAATTGCTAATGATGCTGAACATTTTTTGATGTATTTATTAGCCACTTGTATTTCTTCTTTGAGAAGTGTCTGTTTAATTCTTTTGCCCCTTTATTAATTGGGTTTTTTGGTGACGTGTTTTTTAGCTCTTTATATTTTCTAGATTATTAATCCTCTGCAAGAGTCGCTAACAAGGATTTTCTCCCATTCTCTGGGTTCACTCTTCACATTCTTAATTATTGTTTCCTTTGTGGCACAGAAGATTTTTAACTTAATGCCATCCCATTTATTAATTCTTGACCTATTGCCTGAGCTTTAGGAATCCTATTGAGAATGTTGTTGCCTGTGCCTAAAATCTGGAGTGTTGACCCTACATTTTCTTCTGCAAGTTGCAATTTCTGGTCTAATTCATAGGTATTTGATCCATTTTGAGTTGACTTTTGTGCAGGGTGAGAGATAAGGGTCTAGTTTCATTCTTCCACATGTGATAACCAGTTGTCCCAGAACCGTTTGTTAAAATGCCTGTCTATCCTTGCATCTCCAAAGTATATTTTTGGCAACTTTTTCAAGGATTAGATGATTTTATCTGTGTGGATTTGTCTCTTGTGTCTTCTACTCTGTGCCATTGGTCTATGTGTCTTGTTTTTATGCCAGTATCACAAAGTTTTTGTTACCATAGCTCTGTAGTATAATTTGAAGGTAAGGTATTGTGATGCCTCCAACATTGCTTTTTTGGCTTAATATTGCTTTGGCTATTCTGGGTCTTTTATTCTTCCTAATGGATTTTAGGACTGTTTTTTCCTGGTTTTGTGAAGAATATCATTGTTATTTTGATAAGGATTGCATTGTATGTTGCCTGTGGTAGTATGGGCATTTTAATATTAATTCTGCTTATCCAGGAACATGGAGGTCTTTTCATCTTCAAAGCTCTTCGATTTCTTTTAATGTTCTGTAACTTTCATTATACAACACTTTCACCTCTTCAGTTAGATATATTCCTAGGTATTTTACTTTTGTTTGGGCTATTGTAAAAACTGTTTTCCTGATTTCTTTCTAAGAAGATTCATTGTTAGTATATATTGTTTTATAACCTGCTACTTTGCCAAATTTGTTTATTACCTCTAGAAGTCTTTTGGTGGAGTTTTTTGTTTTGTTTTGTTTTTAATCTTCTAGGTATAGAATCATATCATCCACAGTGATAATTTCCTTTCCTATTTTTATCCTTTTTATTTGCTTCTCTTGCCTAATGGCTAGAATTTCTAAACTGCATTAAATAGGAGTGGTGAGAGTAGACATCTGACTTGTAGATTCTAAAGTAAATGCTTTCAATTTTTCCCCATTTACTATGAGGTTGGCTTTGAATTTTTAATATATAGTTTTATGATGTTGAGGTAGGTCCTTCTATTACTAATTTCTTCAGTGTTTTTGTTATGAATGCGTGCTGAATTTTTCAGACTTCTCTGCATCTATTGAGATTACTGATTTTTGACCTTAATTCTTTTAATGTGATGAATTATTTATTGATTTATATATATGAAACTATCCTTGCATCTCTGAAATAAACTCAACTTGGTCATGGTGTACAATCTCCTTGAAATGTTGTTGGACACAATTTGCTAAATTTTATTAAGTATTTTTGCATCTAATTTCATCAGGGATATTAGTCTATAGTTTTCTTTCCTTGATGTATCCTTATCTGGTTTTGGTGTGAGTGTGATACTGGTTTCATAAAATGAATTTGGAAGGTTACGTCCTTATTTCATGGAATTATTTCAGGATTATTGACATTAGTTCTTCTGCAAAGGTTTGATACAATTTGACTGAGAACCCATCTGGTCCTGGAACATGGAGGTCTTTCCATCTTCAAAGCTCTTCAATTTCTTTTAATGTTCTGTAAGCTTCATTAAAATCTTTTTATTACTGCTTGTATTTCAATACAAGTTATTGACCTGTTTAGGTTTCCTACGTCCTGATTCAGCTTTGGCATGTATTCAACTAGAAATGTATCCATTTCTTGTAGGTTTCCCAGTTTTCAAAATAGTCCTAATGATATGCTGGATTTCTAACATCTGTGATGAGTTCTCCTTTTTATCTCTGATTTTCATTAATCTTACTTTTCTCCCTTTTTTAGTTTGGCTAAGGATTTATCAATCAATCTATTTAAAAAGAACTCTATTTCATCCATCCTTAGGATTGTTTTTTTATTCTCAAGTTCATTGATTTTCAGCTGTGATCTTAAGTCTTTCCTTCCTTTTATCGGTTTTGGAATTGGTTTGTTCTTCCTTTCAAAGGGCCTTGAAATGTATCATTAGGTCATTTATTTGGGACCTTTCTAATTCTCTTATGTAGGCACTCAGCTATAAACTTTCCTTTCAGAACTACCTTCGCAATGTCCCAGATGTTCTGGTATGTTGCATCACTATTTCTATTTAAGAATTTTTAAATTTCTCACTCAATTTCTTCTATCACCCATTCATCCTTCAGAGTATTGTTCAATCCCCATGCTGTTTATATAGCTTTCATAGGGTTTGGTTGTACTGATTTTTAATTTCATCCCATCATGATTTGATAAGATGCAAGGAATTATATCAAAACTTTTTTTGGTTTGGTAAGAGTTGCTGTATGGCCTAAAATATGGTCTATCTTGGAAAAGGTTCCATGAGATTCTGAGAAGTATATTATTATTGTATGAAATATAGAATATAGATGCCTGTTAGGTCCATTTGATTTATATTTTTAACATCCATAGAGTCTTTACTGAGTTTTTGTCCAGATGAGCTATCTAATGGTCAGAGAAATCACCCAGTATTATTGTACTAGGGGCTATCTGGGGCTCCAATTTGAGTAGTGCCTTTTATGTAACCAGTTATGCTCATACTTGGGGCATAAACATTTATTATTGTTATATCTTCTTGTTGGATTGCTCCCTTTACCAATGCAAAGTGACCTTTTTTCCTTTTTCTGATATAATTTTTGTCATATGGGAGTAGCTACTTCTGCTTGTTTTCAGACTCCATTCACATGGTATATCTATCAATTTCCATCCTTTCACTTTCAGCTTGTGGCTGTCTTTGATATGTCTCTTACAGACATATAGTTGGGACCTGTTTTTTAATCCACTCTGCCAACTAACATCTATTAATTGGAGAGTTGAGACAATACACCTTCAATGTCAAGATGTTTATTAACTTCTGTCATTTTATTGTTTAGTCTTGTTTCTCATTTGCTTAGCTACTCTTCAAATGAAGTTTTTTTTTTTTCCTGTGAGCTCTGAAGCCTTTTCAATTTGTTTAATATTTAAGTTCTGTAGTGCCAGTTTACTAGTCATGAGTTCTTTTATTAGTTTCTGCTTATCTTGAAAGGTTTTTATTTCATCCTGAGTCTTGAATGATCTTTGCTTGATACAGTAGTCTTGGTTAACAGTTATTTGCTTTCAGGACTTGGAACACATTGTTCCAAGCCTTTAGGGCTTGTAGAGTTTGTACTGAGAAATCAGAAGCGATTGTGATTGGCTTGCCTCTTAATATGACCTGGTGTTTTTTCTCTTGAAGAAAAATATGGAACATTTAAAAAAAAAATGTGTCATCCTTGTCCAGGAATCATGCTAATTTTCCATTTATCTTTTCAATTTTAGTGTATGTACTGCCAAAGCAAGCTCAATTTGTCATTCTTCAGTCTTCTTGATCACTCACAATATTTGATTGTTTTTCAAGGTCTAAGAGGAGATGCCATCTTTGTGGTTTGCTTTCAGCTTTCATGGAACAAAGCTGAGAATTCAAAATATTTCATTTTCTGCTCATGCACGAAAAAAATTACAAAGAAAGATATTTCTAAATTATTAGATGAATCAGAAGATCACGAGAGGCAGACATAGCACTATACTCTAGAGATAGTGACAAAACTGATTGTGTAAGTGAAATTTCAGCCTGTCTTCAGATGACCTACATTGCAGAATTGTTCCATTCAAGAAGTGAATATGTTTCTATGAAGGAACATACACTCACCCAGTTAGTCATGTAACAGGAAGGATTTCACCTTGCAGTATTTTGCCATAATAAACTGGACCACCTTGCTTTGCTAAAAGGATGTCACAGTACTATCTTTAATGTTTATGCATCAAAATTTATTTGCTTTTGGTTTGCGACTTAAGAAGGATCCACTGGATGCAAAGATGATAAATGTTGATAAAGTTTTCCTGTTTACTAAGAGTTAAAGCACTGTATTTCAGGGAGGTAGACCTTGCTTCAGAGACACGACACTGTCCAATACCATACAAGTATACAATATCAAAACCAAATTTTAAAAATACAAAAAAGAAAATTTTATTAATCCTTTTAAAAACTTGACAAAATTCAGTCTTCCATATTTTACCCTGGCCTGGCTCACCTCACCTTACCTCTACCATAGTTTCATGACTACTCAGGCTTTCTTCATTCTGCTTCAGGTTGGTTAACATTCGACATGTGATTGTGGTCCTCTTTGGAGATTTTGTTGTTGTTCACAAATAAATGCAACATGCTCTATGTCTGAGACCAAAACCCAACTACCTTCCACCCTATGAGATCTACTTAATCTCACTTAGCCTATTGGCTACCATTTTAGAAATGAGGCAATAACTCACTACATGGACATACTCCCTGTATCTTTCATTGTTAGACCGTGCATTTAAACAGTATGTCCTCTCCTTTGTTCTAATAATAACATTTCCACTAAGTTTACTAATGGTCCAATTACAAATCTACTGACAAGAAAACATATGTTCTAATACTACTGAATTTTAAATATAATTACTTGTGGAATCATCACAGAAGAAATCACTAAAACTATAAAACCATAAAACATATAATAGCCAATAATCATAAAATATACTTAGGGCTTATTATTTGGCAAATAATATTCTAAATACCCCAAATACATTAAAATAATTTGCTTCTCATTTTTGTGGTAGTATTATTCATTTTACACATGAGCAAACTAATGCACAGAGATGTTACTTACCCAAAGTTACACAGTGGCAGAGCCAATATTTAATTTCAGCTTAGTTGTAGAGCCTACACTTAATCTCTACATTAAATTGCTTTCTCCAGTTAAGAAAAAAAGATCATCACAAATAGATAAGCTATAATTTTATAACTTTCAACTTGCTTTCATCATAGTGAAAATAAAATAACACACAGCTTACAAAAATAAATTTTTATTAAAAGCAGTAGAGTCTGAGCAGGAAGACAGTACAAAGAATGTAAACAATGTAAACATCACTACATTCAGCTCAGCCTGATTGAACGCTGAAAAACAAGTCTAAATGCTCTATGTGCTCTTGCTAGCAAGATACATTAATTCTATTTTACACAGACAACACAGTCTAATTTTGAGTAGGAAAAAATATTTTATCGAAGTCGATCCCAACGCCAAATACTGGCATCATCACAAACTGCTATAAGAATGCTGCTATCCCTGCTAAAACTGGTTTGTCGAATAGCAGCACCACATTTATGATGAGTCAGTGTTGTACATCTAGGGAAAAAACATGACAAGAGGTTAAATATTTTACATTATACTACCAATATCTACCTTTAGAATGAATAAGAAAATAAACAGATACCAAGTCTCTTTAAAAAGCATTTAAAACCAGACTATCTTCATTAAAAGTTCAATCTCAAATCTCATAAAATTTGGGTATATTTTAAACCCAAGCGGCACCATATAATTTTTACAAGTATCACCAAGGTGCTCATTATTAAAATAAAAAAATACTTGTAACTCTGAAATTTGTAAATGTTAAAATGTTATTTAAGGATGATACTGCAAGTGTCAATATTTTTTCTATATTTGCATAAAACTTTGGGGGGAATAAGGCAGAAGTCTTTAATATTATAGAAATTTCTCAATACTTACTTGGCTTTATGAGGATCTTCTACTTCTAAATCCCAAACATAAAGTTTGCCAACCTGATTGCCCAATGCAAGCATCTGTGTAAACATTTTTAAAAACATCAAATTAATAAAATCACCATGCTCCAAGGCATTCAACAATCCTAAGACAACTTTCTTACTTCAGAAAAACCTCGGCTCCAGCCTCTGACTGCGCTCTTGACTATTTCTTTGGATCTTATATTCCTGATTTGTAAATAGGAATAAGAGCAATTAATATTTCACAGGTGTCCTGAGTAAAATAAGAAGGCACTTCACAATTTTATGAAGGGCTTTACAGTTTACATTGTAATGTGGTACTCTTTTTTCTGCCCTGCCTTAAAGAATTATAGCAACAGTTGTGGAAAGCTCTTCCAAAACATGTTTTTCTTTTTCTTTTTTTTTTTTTTAAAAAGAGATGAATACCCAGTTAATTTGTTACCACAGAATCCTAACAACAGATTTCTTTAACATTTTAGGTAACTAGTAACTAGTATTTAACCTGTCTTCCATGCTGATTTTCCTAGGAAAAAGCTACAGAAGTAATTTAACATTCCAATCACTAAAATATTAAATGTTAGTAACAGTTATTATGGAATGTAACCTAAATTTAACTACTGATACCAAACTGCCAATTTTATTTATAACAGGCATTGCAGATGGTATACAGAGCCCACAATGGCAGAATTTTTTAATCAATACAAAACATCAAGATAGATTCTTAGAGTAAAAAGAACATGGATATAACAGAAAAAAGTTAGAATTACAATGGAGTATAAGCCAAATAATTTCAAAATGTAAAAATATGCTGCTACCTTTTGCCAGAAATCCATAGAAAACCTCATGTACCAAATGTCACACTGGCTGTAATCAAATCGCCCAAGAATAGTCACATTAGACTCACTAGGTTTAATTTTATCTATATCATCTTCCATTTTGCCAGGTTTCCAGCATACAATGGCATTTTCACAAGACTAAAAGAGAAAAAAAGAAAAACAAGTATTAATTTTAGAACTGAATTTTAAAAATTTAAAACAAGACTATTATTTTAGAATGACAAGTCAAAGAATGTGGTTAATCCAGTGATACACATTCATTTGTATACAGTCAACGTCCACATTTGAGTATAAGAAATCTGATCAACAAAATTAGACAATACAAAAAAATTATGTTGTTTGGAATATTCATGTTGGAAGTCACAATTTCTCTTCATAATCAAACCACGTTCAGCTCTAGATACTTTGGTACCCAGAGATACTTTGAAATTACATTTCAAAGGTATAATTATAAAAACACTGTATTAGAATACATGGCTTTTCAATATCTGGTCCTTCTTTTTATCACCAGTTTCCCCAATTTTCCAACTTATTTCTAATCCTTTATTGCATTCTTCAACCACAGTGTCTGTACCACCTGACAGGTAACAGATATAATGAATTCATTCAATGTGCCTTGAAGATCAGGTTTGAAGTAGGGCAAAAGGAGGCAATCAAAGCAGTAGTTTAACATCAAGATACCAACATGTGGATGGGCTCAAATGATATGAAGTTATACTTCTCTTATCATGTAACACTGACTCTTTGTGTACACATTCCTACTTAGGCAGGAACTGGTAAAGAATACAATGAAAAGAAAATTTCAAAACTGTGGGTGCCTTTCATATTATTAATTGGTAGAAGCCAGACATGCTGACAAAAATCTTCTGATGAATTGGATAGTTCCTCACCAAATTACATTATACAGCACAACCTCAATAACACCAGATTAAGAAACCTTGGTTTAAGTAAACAGTGCTCCCTGGATTTTGCTGTGCAGCTTACACTATCAAAGGTGGCAACCCTGCAGCAAGGGTAACTGGCATTTAAACAGTTTAACCACATGGTCATAAGAAGATCAGAATGGGATAATACTTTTCTTTTTTTTTTTAATACCACGGATTGAACCTAGAGAGGCTTAACAACTGAGCCACATCCCCGGCCCTTTTTTATATTTTATTTAGAGACAGGGTGTCACTGAGTCGTGTAGGGCCTTGCTAAGTTGCTGAGGCTGGCTTTGAACTAGCAATCTTCCAGAGCTACTGGGATTATAGGCATGCACCACCATACCTGGCAGGACAACACATTTTTTTATTCTTTTTCAAATTTTTCAAACATAATGCTATATGGTATATGTTACACAAGTTCTTAACTACAAAGTACCCTCAGAGATCACCTTAGCTTGATGACTCTTGAACAAGTGCACAACTAGATCAATAATAACTTGTGGAATTTTCTCAGGAACCTCATCGTGACCCCAACCCCAATGAATCAGAATCTCTCAGGGGAAGGCAGAAGCATAAGAATTATAAAATTGTTCTTCATGTACTTCTTACTGTGCTGATAAAGAATATTTTTCCCCCTGTGGTGGGGGATCAAACCCAAGGCCTAAAGCATGCCAGCCAAGCACTCTACCATTGAGCTACATCCCCAGTCAAGAATTTTAATTATTAGAGTCCCGCCTCATGGAAAACTAAAGTAAGGGAAGATAAAAAGAATTTACCAGAGCTGATTCATTACCTTCGAAATCATCTAGGGAGTGTTTTAGAATCACAGATTTCTAGGGTTCTTGTGCCAAATTTAGAATGTTTGGGGGATAAAGTGTAGGAATCTATTTTTACCAAGTTCTTCCAGTGATTTTTAACACAGAGCCAGATTTGAGATGACCATTAATATTTAGTCCAACCTCTCACCTAAATTCAGAAATCCT